GGGAGCATCACACCGGGGACAGACAAGGACTGGGGGAGCGTCACATCGGGGGCAGCCCCTCCAAGGGGCCTGGGGACCATCACGCTGGGGACAGCCACCCTGGGGGCTTGGGCAGCACCCCACCGGGCACAGCCCCCCCGGGGGGGTTGGTACCCACCACGCTGGGAACAGTCATCTCAAGGGCCTGCTACCCACTGCACTGGGGACAGCCACCCCAGGAGGTTGGGGAGCATCAACATCACATCGCACATGGCCACCCTGGGGGCTTGTGCACAACCTGCAGAGCCCCCCCAACACTGTAGCCTCCCCTGGCCCAGAGCTGGGCTCCTGGAGCACACACTGTGCTGTCCTCACTAACCCTGTGTCTCTTTCTTTACTCGGGGGTGCCCCAGGGGTTTCACACTCCTGCAGGCAGCCCGGGGCCACAGTTGTGTCCCTGAGCAAGGCTGGAGGTGAGATACAGCTTCCAGACACACTCCTGCCACAGAGAGCTACTTGTGTCCAGCCGTCACCCACAGCAGGACATGGAGGGACTGCCCTGAGCCCCCCACTCTACAGGCATGGGGGGACACACAAGCTCCTGTGGCTTTGTCTTGCTGGGAGCTCATGCCCCAGGCTGCAGCCATCAGCAACCCTCCAGCCACAGTTTGTAACAGAGCAAGAGCCTGGAGGAGGGAGAATAAAAGCAAATCTGTCTAGCTCTAGCCCCCTCATCACTCTTTCAGAAATCAGAGCAGCATATGGGAGTATTTGCCCCTTTCCCCAGAGATGGAGCTGAGCAGATGACAGGCTGTGAGCATGTGTTAGTCCCACCAACGCTCACTCCAGCCAGCTTCCCATTAAGGGCAGCAGTTGCTCCAGACCCAAATGTTAGCAGTTTTCAATTAGCAAATGGCAGAGGAGAGGGATTCCTGGGGGACACGCTGAGCAACTCGAGCTCTATCACTTGTCACTCAAGGAGCTCACGTTACCCTTCTCCCTGAGAGGCTCTGCTCAAAATAAAACCCTCCAGCAGCCTGAGGGGAAGCAGGCAGCCCGCCTGCTTGCTGCCAGAGCTGCCAAGGAGGGGATGGGGGGCTGATTTCTGTGGTTACCCTGAGGGGTGGCAGGTTGTCCTGCCACAGCCTGAGCTGCAACGGGGTTTTAGCTCCCAAATATCAGGGAAGCTTGTGCTGGTGTACACCGAACATGAACAGTCATGGCAGGGGATTTTCTGAGGGAGGTGAGTAGCTGGCAGCCTGCTTGGATGGTGGAGAGCACTGAGCTAAACTTTAACCAGCTCCCAGCGAGCCTGGAAACCCAACATGTAAAAACAAGTGACGGTGGGCAACTGTACAGGGAGCAGTGGGGTGCAGCAGGTACCTCGAGCTGGGGTTGAGGTGCTCCCCAGCCAGGTTTGCTCAGGGCTGTGGCCCCCCAAGGGCAGGATCTATCAGCAGCCACATGGTCCAGCTGGTTCTGCCACTACGTGCCAGCATGCCCTGGAGCCAGGCTGCCTCCAACAAGAGATAGGCACTATCCCAGACACTGTCCCTGACATACTATGACCTGGCCCTGACTAAAAACTGTCCCTGGACACAGTTATGAGACAACGTTCAGGCCAAAAGGACAAGGCCCTTGGCATCCCGGGGGGTGATGGGACTCCTGGTGTTTCCACCACCAAAGACAGGACACATCAGTCCTGTAAGCTTAGACAGCCTGTGCCTCCGATGACAGGCATGAAACAGCCGACTTTTATCATTATTTACTGCTTCTCTTTGATGTTTTTAAAATTATTCTTCCCTAACCTCACTGAAGAGCATCTCTGCTAATTAGCCAGGAGCTGACAAAGCCATCAGAAGGTGCTGGCTGTGCCGGCAGGGTGGCTGGGAGGTGTCAGACCCTGCAAACAAAGATCCCTCCTTTTCCCCTCTCCCTAAGGAAAGCCCTCCCCGCACTCAGCATCACAGCCAGGCATTTGTCTCACACAAAGGCGACACTCAGGGCAATTCCCTTTGTGGAGGCGATATGTTCCCTGTCCCCTATGATGGGTCACTCCTTGAACCCATCTGGGCTTGGAGAGGCCTCTTGTCCTCTTCCCCAGCCTCTCCCTGGCCTGCACTCCTGCTCCATCCCTCCTCCTTGTATTTAACTTAAACTGGAGGGACAGAAAACTGACGCTCTGGCTTCTAAAGAAGTTAAGGTGGAGCGTTTTGCCCCAGGGAAAGGAGTGGAGAGAGTCCTCTCCCTGCTTCTGGGGCCTCGTGCCCAGGGAGGGCGGGGGGTAAGGGAGTGAGGCGGCTGGACAGACGGACGGGCAGCCGCACCTTCTGCCAGTTCTGCCAAGCCTCGTGGGAATGAGGATACGACCTCGACAGAGGTGCTGGAATCAAAACAAATCAGCTCTGGGATCAGCAGGCGGTTTGGGCTGTTTCCTGCTGACAGCAACAGCCCCGGGTCAGCGGGATCTTACTGGGAACGGGGACAGCTTTTCCCTAGGTGACAATGGCCAGAGGGGACCCACACCAGGATGCACAAAAGGGGACAGGCAGCCTCATCCCACACCTCCCCTTCTCGCTCCCCTCTGGCTCTGCCTTCCTTAGCAGGAAGAGCCACAGGGACACGGCTGATCCACCACCAGCTCCACAGAACACGGGAACAAAACAAGGATAAAGGGAGAAGCCCTGAGACCTGCAGATTTCACCAGGAGCTTCTGCAGGGAAACAAAGCAGCAGACGTGAGGAATGCAACTGGCCTATTTGCCCAGGCTGCTCTCTGCCTCCGGCAGTGCGGACATGCCTCGGCTTGTCGTTTCAGGAGCTTTTGTTGCTCGGGGCTGGGGGCCTCTTTGTTTCCTTTACCCTTTCGCCAGGCTTGGTCACAGCCCGGTATTAAATTATTCAAATCATCTCGCTGGGCTTCACAGCTGAACTCCTGCAAGGAGCGCAGGCTGTGAAATCCCGAGGGCTCCGGCCCTCGCTGTGAGCCCCCGGCCCGGCACAAAGCACACTGGTCCACACTGGTTTCCCCTGCCCGGAGTAAAGGGTCCCGATATTTGAGCTGGTGACACCTCCAGCCCCAGCACTGCAGTGCAAAGGCGTCATTAAGCCATAAAACAACCCACCTAACACCAGCACATCGATGGGAAGAGGGGGGCTGCACCCCTGGATTTGGCAGCCCAGCTGGAGCAGGAAGAGCCTGGCTCCTGAAACAGTGACATTTTGGTGGCATTGCTGACAAGACAAAGGATATCAGACCTCTGTCCTGCCTGCTGCTGTCCCAGCAAGCCCTCAGCCCTGTCGAGGCTGTAGCAGGAGCACCAGTCCCTTCCTATGGGATGTGTTTGGATGTGGTGTGGGGCGAGGGGAGCTGTGAGAGCCCAGCTAAACACAGCCAAAAGAAATCTGTTGCTGTAGGAGCTGGTGCTGCTGCCAGCTCAATGCAGGGAGGAGAGGCAGTGGCCCAGAGGGGCTTTGAGGCAATTTAACCCAGCCCTGTAATTACCTCAGTGCCCAGGTTGGTCTGGGAGGGGAGAACACCTTTCCCTCTGTCGACACGGGGCTGCAGGAGCCGTCCCTGTAACCTGCAGCACAAAGAAAGTGCCAAAGGACTGGCAGAGCCTTTGAATTCCAGTCAGCTTCCTGGGATAGCAGGGTGTAACCGCCTGAAAAGGCAGCTCCACAAGAAACAAAAACGGCAGGGAAAAACCCATGCACCCACCCTGCCAGGAGCCAAACAGGGAGGCTGTGTCTGCAGCCAGGGCTGCACACGCCTCTCCCGGCCGGACAGGACCTGCTCCCTTCCCCAGCTGGAGCCTGGAAGGCGAGGGAAGAAAGAGCAGGAGACCTGCAGAAATTCATTACCTTTCACATGACAGAGGGATCGGTTGGCTTTTACCAGAGCCCAGTGAGGTTTCCCTCATTGAAAACAGGAAAGAATCACAAAAAATAATTAGAGAGATTTCATCTCAGCCAGCTTATGAAAGCACCGACTTTATACACAACAGATTGGCAACAGCACAAAGATGGATGTGAAAGGCAAGAGCATTTGCAATGTCAGACAGATCAGAGACAGAAGCTCATCAAAAAATGGCCCAGGGCAGACGTTAAGTTGAAAAAAGAAAGGAGGAGGGAAAAAAAATAGAAAGGAAATGACCCTTCTGGAGATAAAAAATGTGACTCCTGTCCATGACACACGGATGTGCCCCTCCTGCCCGCAGAAAGGACCCCTGGTGAAAACTCATCATCTCCCTGGAAAGATCTGGGTTAAAAAACTTCAAGTACTGACAATCACTCGCTGTGTTTTGCTCCTCAGCTGGGAGTCAGCGAGCTGGTCAGCACCAGGACTGAGGGGCCTGAGGACAAATGTCAGCTGAAGAATCCTCCAGCGAGCTCCTGGGGCAGGGGAGGCTGTAAGTGGAAAGCTCCAAGTGGCATTTCGGGAGAGCAAGCAGGGCTGTGCCACACAGAGAGGCTGCTCACACCGGGCTCGGCCAGCCGAGCAGGCAGGACCCCCGAGAGTGTGCTGAGCAGCTCAACAAATGGGTGAAATGTTTTAAGGGGGGATGGGAAAGGACAGACTTCTCTAATTAGCAAAGAGGTTTGCATTTAGTCACCCAGCACAGCGCCTGGGGCCCTGACTCCAGACACTGCTGTGCAAAGGCTGACAGCTCTCCCAGACACCAAGCTGTCAGCCTGGGCTTTGTAACCAGAGACTGCTTCCACGGAGGAAAACAACCTCTGTGCTCCTCACCCTTCTACACAGGCACTTCCAGCAGGGAGGGGAAGAGTTGTGCTGTGACCCCCTGAAGGCAGCACTGGAGCTCTGGGGACATCCACCCCATGCCACATGCAGGGCAGCAGCTCTCAGGCACTGGAGGTTCACAGTGACCCTCGTTGATTCGATAAGTGAGATCAGCTCCGGTTCCGTGGGAACCATCGTTAGGAGCTCCCTGTTTCCAGATTGCTGCCTTTGGAGTGCAGCTGGGGAGCTCTGGAGCCTGCACTGTGTCCGAGGCAGGCAGCAGGAAGAGGCCAGGCCATGCCAGTGGCTGTGGGAGCCCCAACATGTGTACGATGAGGCTGGATGTGGCCCCTCTCAACTCACGCTCACTGGGGAGGCGACTCCTCCACAGCAGCTGAAACACAAAGGGCAAAGACCAAGATTTAGCTGTGAGCCCCACCTCAATGAAGCTACAGGGAGCAGTGTCCTACCCCACACAAGCCTGATACCCAACAGATGGACACCACAATCCCTGTCCCACTATCCCAGGAAGCCACTGCAAGGCCTCAGTAGTGGCACAAGTGAGGCAACACCCAGTACACAGAGCCCAAGCAGGAGGAAACGCAGTCTTTTGAGGCTTGTGCCCTCCTCTCCAGCACGCTTGGCTTCTCCCAGTTATTCTGTGTTTGCAGTGGGATTGAGAGAAGGGCGCAGCAGTGGCTCATGATAAAGTGGGCAGCAGCCCAAGCCAGTCAAAAATGGTGTCGGCCCCATGGGAGGAACCTCCGAGTGGTGCAGAACAGCCGCCCCAAAGGTGGAGCGCGGCTCGCCTGTGCCAGCACCCTCTCCGGGCCACATCACAGCCAGAGCTGACAGCAGCAATGACATCACATGTGTCAACGGATCTCGTGTTCTCTCTGGAGAAATTTCCAGGCAGACTGAGCCGTGTGAAAGCCCAAAGTCAGATCTCAGCTCTTTACAGAGCTCTTGCTGCTTTTTGCACGCTGGTTGCTGAGGGATGCTGGGGCAGGCGAGGCTGCTGCCCTCACACCGCTGAGTTTGCACTTCCAGTACTGGGACAGGAGGGACGAGGTTTCGGACAGAGGGACAGCACTGGGGCTACACACTAAGTCCCTGCTCTTACAGTGCTGCAGGTGGGAGCCCACAAACCAGCTGCCACGGAGCGTGGGGTGACTCCGGCAGCGGAAGGGGAGAGCAGTCTGCAGCCTTCCTGCGGAGACAAAACCCTTTTACTCCCATGACAAATGCCCTACTTGTTCCTGAGCCTGGGGACTCAGCCATTCCCTCTCCCCTTCACGTGGCAGAGCACATCACATGAGAGCTCGGCACTTGCAGGGGAGGAATGGGAGCCAGGGCCGATTCCGCTGCGCCGGGGCAGTCAGCTGGGCCTCCTCCCCTCAGGGCTGTAATTAGCCTCCTTGAAGTGGGCTGGGACTGGAATCCCTCAGCCCAGGCTGAGGCCATAATCAACCCAGTAGAGGAGGAAGAAAGGCCCCTCCAGCAGTCTGGGCCAGGCTCCCATTGTACATCCAGGCAACGGAAGGGCAGGTCATGCCACGGGCACGTTTTAACCACGCAAAGATGCTGCCTTTGGCCCAAGCAGAGAGGAACCACAAAACCATTGCTATCTTTTCCAAACCACAATGGAAAGGCAGCAGCCAAAATGACGCCTCAAATCTCAGCTTCTATTTCAGCAGCATCAATTAGAGAGCTGCTCTTTTTGGATACTCGGTGGACCGCTGGCACGCCAGCTCCCCACCGGCTGCAGCTTGGCCAGCCCACCTGTCTGGGAGTGCACCAGACAGCCTCTGCCATCCCTTTACTCCCTTGGCCCAGTGGGAGTGGCAGCATCACAGAGATGCAGAGCAGAAAGGGTATTTTTAAGGGCTTGAAGTTATTTCTATTCATCTGCAGTTCGAGAGGGACTAGAATAACACAGAGCTTATGTGCCAGGGTTACTCGGTACATCTCCGATCACAAAGTATTGTGTCTGGCTGGGCCCTCATGGCAGGAATCACAGGAACAAAGCCTTTACTCACGCTTTACTGCCAGCAGTGTGTTCCCGTGGCAGCAGGCTACGGAGGTCACCAGGTATGGATGTGTCTCCTCCAGCTGCACCGGCCTCGGCACTCCCGTTTCCTCGTCCTTCCTGCCCAGGCGTCCTCTGGCTCCTTTCCCCCACGTGCACACCTCGCCATCTGCAGAGAGACAGATACACCTTGCTGCACACCTGCCTTGGCCACAGCATGGACTGCAGGCAGAGGACAGCCAGGGCCTGCTGCAGCCCAGGACACAGCCTCACCTGCTCCGATGGCCACAGTGAAGGCATCCCCACAAGCCACCACGGTGACCTTCATTGCCTGGAGCCCCACAACCAGGTGGGGCACGCGGCTGTTGCGGCAGGATTTGGTGCCCAGCTGCCCGTGCTGGTTGCTCCCAAAGGTGTAACAGTGGCCAGAGGCTACAACAGAGAGGAGAGACACAACTGGGTGTCACTCAGGGATGCACTGAAGCTCTCTCTTTGCTGTCTCCTATGCTGAGCATCCTGCTCCACAGAGCTCCAGCACTGGGTGTCTCTTGAGCCTCCATGAGGCCTCTGCCCACGGGAAGCAGAGGAAGGAGGAAGACAGGGAAAATGCAGGTGTCCTCCCCCCTCTCAGGGATCTGGGCACACACCCTCACCTGTGACTGCAGCCGAATGTGCTGTACCGATGTCAGCACACACAATGGGCTCTTGGTTCAAGGGGGTTGACTGGGCACACACGAACACTGTGGCCTCCTCCACCTGGTCCTCTGGGGAAGGCTCCTCTGCCGAGCTGATCCGGTCTAGGCCCAGCTTGTTACACCTGCAGAAGGAAAAGCTCAGTTCAGAGCTGGCTGAATGCAGCCTGGCACAGACACCCTGGATACAAACCCTGCCCTGGCATAACCATACCACCAGCAGCACGATGCTGGGGGCAAGATCACACAGGAGCATCTTCTGGAGCCCCTTGCTCCCTCTTCCCAGGCAGGACAGATGGACAGGCCCAGGAAGGTGAAATGTGGAGCACAGACCCTCACCCCTCTTACCTGTTGCTCCCACAAGCAAGAATCTGGTTCTTCACTGTGAGGACCATGGAGGAATCGATGCCACAGATGACCCTCTGAGCCTCATGCTCTGGTGGGACTGTGACCTGCTGGGGGGAGTTGTGGCACTCCAGCGTACCCAGCCCAAGCCGACCTGGCAGGAGGAACAGAGCAGGGAACAGCTGATGGAACTACAAACTCAGCACAGCCCCACAAAGAACAGCATTGACACAGCTCAGCTGCTGTAAGAGCCCAGCCTGGCACCCAGAAAGCAGCAAAACCCAAGCATGGGGGCCTTGGTATGTGGTGAAACAGCTGCAGCTCTTCCACACCCACCTACCCTGGCACATCTGGAGGGAATTGTGGACAAGCAAGGCCAGCAAGGGGAGCAGGAACAGGCAATGGAAAGCACAAGCCCTGTTTTGCCAAACAGGCATCTCTTACCATTATCCCCCCTGCCCCAGGCAAACACTTCCCTTTCGTTGGAAACCGCCAGGACGTGAGATGCACCACAGGCCACCTGCACCATCTCGTAGCCCAGCAGGGCCTCCACAATCTTGGGCTGGCAGGGGAAGAGCAGCAGCCGTCAGCCGAGACCTCCCAGCCTGCCCGGCTGCTCCCATCCCTCCCACCCGGCCCCCCCAGACTCAACACAGAGCTGGCAGCATCCCAGTTTTCATCCAACACAAACAACAGAGAAAATTTTTTTTTTTTGTTCCAAACAGTCTTCAAAGGGTTTAGAGACTACGTGCGCACAGCACAGAAGATAACGCAAACATCTCTGGGGCAGAAGAAAGCAGCCAGCACGAGAGTTTGGAGAGGGAAGAGGCTCGGCAAGGGTTGGGATTCGCCCCCCTGCCCATGTGGGGAGTGCCAGGGGCTGTGAACGCCCACTCCGAGCAGGCAGGGGCTTGGTGCAGGATGCGTTGGCTCAAAGGCTCTTGTGCAGAGGAGGTGTGAGTTAACGGCTCAGATTCATTAGGGTGTGGAGGGACCAAGATCTCCACATTTCACCCAGCCCCTGCTGTGACCTGCTGTTAGATCTGACACCTCACCGCTGTGAGCCTCATTCTCATTATCGTCCTCAAGTGAAAAGCACCATTTGTTGGGATCTGGCTGCTGCTTCCAACCGGTCTCCCCTCCCCAGCCATAAGCACTGAGCAGCTCAGCTCCGGACGGAGCAGGAACAAACGAGCCAGCTGACCACAGTGACAAATGGCACCAGTCCCCGGGCTCGGCTGGAAGCATCGCTGCTGCCACATCCGAGGGCAGGCGAGGAAGAAGCTTGAAGGGAGCAATGAGCCCTCAGCTCCAGTGCTCTGAGCCAATCGGAAACACAAGCTCTTCTTTAAATACTGGCTCTTTTGAAAAATAACTTTTCTCAGTGAACCTTGGCAGCTGCAGGCCAAGAGTGAAGCAGGCAGGTGTGTGATTGGAGGCAGGCTCCAAGCTGGGAGCCTGCCAACAGCAACCACAAGGCAGCTCTTGACTTCCCCCACGCTCAAAGGGATCATTGTGTAGGGGGGGAGAGAAAGAGAGAAGCAGGTTGGGTCTTTTAAAACCCGCAGTGACAGGGAGAGGAGGGGGAGGGGGTCGGATGCCAGAGCATGCCTGGGATGTACATCCCTGGAGCTGGGATGAGCCCCGCTCACGTGGCACAGAAGTCACAATCCCCTCTCCCCTGGGGGAGCAGCAGGCCCAGCACCCTCATCACCAACCTGGCTCACATCTGTGAAGTTCCCGTGCCCCAAACAGCCATTGCTGCCGCTGCCGAAAGTCATGATTATCCCCCTGTCTGGAGCAGCAGAAAGAAGTCGTGTCAGTGGCACACGTGAGGCCCTGCAGGGCACACGTGAGGCCCTGAGAGGCGCACGCAGCCAAGGGGACGTGGCTCCCAGGACAGCGGCTCTGCTCGGACCCACTCTGACTCATGACTTGCTGCAGGGGCCATAAGCCTTCAGTGAGCTTTTAGGGAGCAGCAGGAGCTTCCAGATAGCTGCAGCCTCTCTGTGCTGCAACAGCTCAACAAACAAACAGCAGTGATAAGAGGGTGCTGAGATAACACTGGTGCAGCTGTGTACGCAGGAGCCGTGAACCCCACAGTCTGTCAAGGTGTTAAAGTCACAGAG